AAATAATCACTGTGCTTGACCATGGGAAAAGTCCTAGATAATTAAATTTTGGCATATTGGATTCTGACTAAGTGAATTTCCCAAATAAGTCAATTAGATTGTAAGTACAAAAAAGGTTTTAGATGCTACAGTTTAGAGTAATGATTACAGAGATCGATCTGAAGTCAGCAAGACCTGTAATCAATCCCACCTCTGCCACTAATTACATGGGTTCCATAGAACTTGGGAATGTTTCTAAAGTCTTAGTTTCTCCTTATATTAAGAAAGAAAGGGAGAATAAAAACTACCTATGCTTGGGTTGTGGATAATATTAAATAAGATGGGAAAGTAAAGTGCATCATGCCTGGCACAAATGTCTTGTATCCCTACTGCCACCACCGCCTTTGCTGCTGTTCTTACTGTATTGCTCTGCAACCTATGGAATATTCCTAAGAACAAAATACAGTGTAGACACTTAATAAACAGTTGCTGGTTGAGAGTATTTCACTAAAACACACTCTAGAATTAAAAATTTAAATCACATTCCTCTGGTATACAGAGGCAGACATTATAATTAAAAACCAATAAAATGAGTATTTAATCAATGCCACAACATTGGAAATGAACAAAGGTTTTTATTAAACAATCATTGATAAATGTATTTTTGTTCTTGTATCATGAATATTTGCTAAGATATTAGGCAACTATTGCTTGAGTTGTTTTGTAATAGTCCTCTGTGGTATTGAAAAGTTACGAAAAATAAACGGAAAAATTATAAAGCATTTCCAAATGTTATAATTGGAATTATTCACACATCATTTAATAACTCAGCATCTAGATTGCTAATTATTTTTTAATACAGCAGCAAATGTCAGTTTTAAATGTGTAGCCAAATGCTGGATAGTTCCTTTTTTAATGGTATTTTCTCTTTCCTTGGTATTTTCCCCTGATTAATTGCAATTTATTTTAAAATGAAAACTGTTTCTAAAAAATGGATCCATGAAATGTAGTCTTCTCTGCTTCTGCTATGTGACCCTTCTATACATCTTATTTATGACTCTATTCTGGCAAAATACTTTGGGGGCAAAATGTATATGAGAGCACAGATCATCTATACAAATCAATTTCTGTGGATGCTATATTGTTTTCCATGTCAAAAATTTTTAAGTTGGAAAGAGATATTAAAAGATATATTTCCCCATATGTATTTTAATTTCCCTAGAACATAAATATGTTTTATTAATTCCTAAGCATGACATATTCTAGCCATAATAACAGTTTATTACTTTCTAAATCATTCTTCCTAAGAGCAAAACTTTCCTCTGTTTATGGGTAAATCAAAATGAAATCACAGTCTAGGAATGTTATATGACATTTTTATGTTTCATTAAGAATTAGGTTTTCTATAATTGAATACATATTTCTGAGTATAATTACATTAGACCAAAAAGATGGCAAATTAATGAGTAGAATAAGGGCTGTCAGAGTACTATCACTGACTACAAAAATGATTAAAAATAAAGGATGAAAAGATAAGAATGATTGTCAATATTTAGTATTGAAGGGTTACTTCCAAACTAGTCATACTTCTAGTAAATTCTGAAGAGCAGAAGCATGGATCCTCTTAATCTTAATCTGTGGTTCTCAAATGGGCTTGATTTGGCAATATCTGGAGACAGTTTTGGTTGTTAAAGTTTAAAAGAAGGAGATACTACTAGAATCCAGTAAATAGAGGCCAGGGATGCTATTAAACAGCCTACCATATATGGGGTACCACCCCCAAACAAGGAATTATTCTGCCCTAATACCATAGTGCCAAGCTTGATGCAAATCTTGTTGTTTTATATCATGCATATAAATAAAACTTCCTTTCCTCGATGGCAACTACATACAAATTCCACTTGGCAATATAGTTAGAAACAAACTCTAAATTCAAATACTTACTTATGGCTAAGTAGGTACTTAATAATGCTTGATCATATAAATGATACAAAGTTTCTACTAACAAATTAATTAAATTACCTTATTATTCACCAAAATAGTTTAGTAATTGATATTTTTAATGGACCGATAAGTCTTATATTAGCTTGTTTTTCATGGTTAGTCTTTCAGTGAAATGAATAGTTGATGTTCACAAGGTGCGAGAATATGGGAAAGTGAAATTAGGGGACTTGATTAATCACAAATTGGATTCACATTTTTTCGTTATTTGCAGGTGAATTGCCTTGTATGTTTATTTAAAATTTAATAATGAAGTCCATTAGGCCCAAATCTAATTTGAAATGTACGTAGGAGTTGTAAATTTTTCCCTTAACTAACAAATAAAATCTAATTAAAATTTAATTCATTTCCTTTTAGATTCCTAAATATAGGCTTTGAGGATTCAAATAGAACTGCCTATCATTTAATCTGCAGTAGTTCAACTCTGGACTTGAACCTTTAGCATGCAGCAAGGGCACTATGGTTATTGACATAAAAGGAAAAACAATTTGGAAGACCAAAATTTCTAAGCTTCATAAAGTATATTTGTTTAGCTATTAACTTAATTTGGAAATTCTCAAATACTTGAGATTGATAGGAGATTAGAAATCTTATCCCTCACTCTTTGTGTTTTAACTTCATCATGGTATCAGCTTTCAGTGAAACCTAAAGACTCTAATGAGATTAACATAAAAGAGAAATAAAGGGGAAAGGTCTCTGGATTAGAATTTTAACCGGTGCCTATGGTGAGAAAATCCTGCCTCTGCTATTGACTTCTTCTATTCTGTGAGGTCACTCATGTCTAGTTAAGTGTCTAAAACAATCTACATTATTTATTCACTATCTGTTCACTCATTTGACAGTTTCTAAAAGGATGGCTAAAAAAATACTAGTGATTATTAGATACTTTTTCATGTTGTAAAAAATAGGGTTGTGTGGGAACATGTGAACATTTAAATAAGACCTAGAAAGGATTCTTAGAAATTTCTGACTTTCTGCAATCATCTGTAGGATGCATTCTACAAGAATTTTCTAACATTTTTCTTTGTATTACAGTAACAAATTCCTAATAGAATTATTATCTAAGGTAATTACATAATTTATTTATCATCAATATTTCAGAAAAGAGGCATGTTTTTGAAAATATATTTTCCTATCAATACTTTTTGCTTGTATTCTTGGGCATTTATATAGAGTCCTATGTAATTTTATATAGCCCAATATATTTATATACATTTTATATTGTAAACTGCACAAATTTTAAGTGCATGGCTCACTCTAAATACATAAATATCTACAGATTAATGGTTGAAGAATCTCCCATGTTTTTGTATCAATAATTAATTTTAAAATATCTTAGTGGCATAGTACTGAGTTTATTCAACTCTTAGTGAATTGTTTCCAGCTTCTAGTTATTACAAATACTACTCAAATGAAGATTTCTTGTGCTTAAAAGAAATGAGCTATCAAAACATAAAAAAAATGGAAAAAACTTAAATTGCTAAGTGAAGAGAGACAAACTGCAAAGGCTGAATAATGTCTGATCTCACCAAGTGACCTTCTGTAAATAAATAAAACCAAAATATCAGCAGTTGGGGCCTCCCCTGGTGGCGCAGCAATTGAGCGCTGGGCTGCGAAGCTGCCTGCAGCCTCTGCAGCGCTGGTTCAATCCCTGGCCACTGGTGAGGGTCCCACATGGCGCACAGATCTCTCCTGCCATGCCCACTGCTCCCCTCACAGTGTATTTCATCAGTCTGCCTGTTCTGTTCCCCACTCTGGCTCTGGTGAATTCTCTCACTCTCCCGTGCTTCTGACTGTACCCAATGCTTGTATAAATAAATAAATAAATCTTTAATGGATCAGTTGCTCAATACAAAGCAATAGCAATTTAAAAAAAAAAAATCAGCAGTTGTCAGGGGCTGGCAAGACTGTGGCAAAGTACCACAGACAGTGAGTGGCACGACTTTGGGCAACTTCTTTCCCTTCTCTGATACTTGGGTTTTTCTCCTCCAAAATCTGGGGCTAATAGTAGAATTCCATCTATAGAGGTGTCATAAGGATTTAAAAGACTGAAAATGTAAAGACAGAGCCTGGCGCATAATAAATGGTACTCAGTATTAACTATTATCCTCTGGGCAGTTTTGAGCTTTAGAAAACTGCTTTATACTTCTGTGGTATCCCCATTACACCTTCCAGAGTGACATCAAATAAACTCCTTTTAGTTTCCATCCTTCTCACTGAGACCCAGTTGACCAGTTTCTCCCTTTTGCTAACCCTCTGAGCTCCAGAGCTCCTGGCAGCATATAAACCTTCAAGACCAAGACACACATTACAATGACACTTCCTGAGCGAATCAAAAGTTGTGATAAGAATACCTACTATAACTTCCTTGGAACCACCTGCAGTGAGGAGGTAAGATGTGAGACAGGTTATATAAAAATTACTAAAAGAGGAAAAAAAACAGAAGAGAACCACCAAACAAGACAAAGTCCATTCATTCTCTTGAAGAATCATCAGGGGTACAAAATGGTTACGTGCTACTCACAAGAGAAATGACAGCCTTCAGGAAAGATGAAGCTATGACACTGGATGAAAAGTTTATTTACCCACACAATTTAATCTCATTCATCTGGTATCCTTTCTGTAGAATAGTTTCATACAGTTTCTTCTAATTCTTTAAAATAAATTCCACTGAATCTAGTTAAAAATTTCAAAAGTAGATTCAGGAAAAAATCCAAGAAACACAGCACAATTTAGAAGGGAAATGTAAAACCAATTTCCTAGTTAAGTGTGACCACTTAGGCATTTTTTTTTCAATATTAACCACGATAAATTCACCGAACATAAGAAATACACGGAGAAGCCACCACACCAAAGAGAAAGTCACTCACGACAAGATGAACACTTGCTCTTTTGAAACGAGACCAGCGTTTGGATTTAAAAGCATTCATTTTCTTCTTACAATTTCCATTTGGCATTTTTCACCTGTGTTAGCAGATCACTCCCAATTCAACCCAAGTACAAAGGTAAAGTTTACTTACCTGCACAAAACCACATGCTGTGAAGTCTTCAAACAAGGGTAGACTTGGCCGGTCTTCTCGATAGATGGTGAGTTTGTATGTGGTGAGGCTCTCACCCTGTGGTGAAGATTCATCCACCACAAGCATTGAGATTTTGTTCATGCCTAAGCCTAGAGGGTAGTTGGCAAAGCTGGAAAGAGAGAGAGAGAGAGAGAGAGAGAGAGAGAGAGAGAGAGAGAGATTTATTCACTCCAAATGGGTTCATACATGAGTATTTATCAAATTCTGACAATATGTATAAACAAGAAATGATGTCTTTACATTCTCATAAGAAACCTAAAATGTTGGTGTGGGGTACTTTGTTATGACAGTAAGTCATGCTCAACAGGGAAGGGAACTATTTATCCACCTGATAGGATCCTACATTATCTCATTTAATACAACAATTCAATACATTTTTAAAATATAGAGACCATGACACAAAACTGGGAAACAAATTGCACAGTCATGTGGTAGTGTTAGGTAGAGGCCCATGTGGTCAGACTTGCATCTTTTTTCTTAGCTTTAGATTCTCAGCTTCCAGGGAAACCAAGCTTATCCCTGTCCCAGTAGTGTGGGCTCATGAGTGTCTGCCCTGCCAAGAACACACAATGTAATAAGAGTTCATGCTTTGTTTCAAATTACAAACCAAAGGTGTTGGCAATTCTCAAAAGTGTCAATAGAAAAAAAAATCCCACTGAGTGATAGTAAGTCCACACATTTTGTCTGTATGTCTATGAAATAATCAACCCCTAAACTGAACCACTTTCAAAGGCACATGGAATGTCCACTAGCCAGCCTGCTGTCTCCAGCCACCCAGGTCAGCACCCCATACCTTGGTCCCGCTGGCTCCTGCAGGCACACTTTGCACCGACACTTAGAAGCCTCTGCTCCAATTGTCACTGTGACCACATCAAATGGGACTTCAGAGTAATAATCTGTGATCTTTGGGTTAAATTCAGGATTTAGTTCCAATTTCGGATGTGTAAAGATCTGCTTGATATAACATTGTGTATCTTTATCTGTTAAAAAAACAAAAACAATGACACAGAAAAGACAACTGTGAAATGGATAATGTTTAAAATGATGTGTGATTAAGGTGTTATTTTAAAAATATTCCTTTTAACAACTTTTAGCCCTCACTGCTGATTTTCTATTTACTATTCTGATCATAGTTGATTTGTGACTTCAGCTGGATTTTCTGTTTGTCAAATTTGGTAGACTTTACCTCATGTAACAGCTGTTAACTTTAGTTGGTTTTAGACAGATGATATTTTTTTGCTCAGCTCTTAAAACTCTAAAGGCACAGAAGGTGGGGAAATGTCTCTCCGGTGGATTGATAACATTTTCATGGCATTTACTGCATGTATCTAGCAAGTGTGTAGAAGGGAGTGATGGCTCTATGGAGTGGTGACAGAAGGATGCTGGCAGGGAATGAGAAAAATTTCTTTTGGGGAATGTCATTAAACTGCCATCGGAATGATACAGTAGCTTAAGGCAGTAGGGTGAAAGGAAGAATATGAATGCCAATAGTATACCAAACAGTCAGATACAGAAACATCCACAGAGCATGCTGAGAGTCCCCCCCCCAAGTCCACCTCAATCTCAGAAAGTACCCTAAAGTATGAAAGAGAAATCCTATATACTCTGTTCAATCCTGTTAGAATCCAGTATATTACTTCAGAATTTTGATTCTAAATCATTTTTTAAGTGTTTCTATTTGGTAACTTAATTTTTACAAATGTATCTGGGGGAGAAAAAAGAAAAATAACCTTGTAGGTACATTTACCAGTCATTGCTAAATTGTACTGTATTAATGTATAGAATAAACATATCACTCCAAAGTAGCTTAGCAAATGTCTTTCAAAGAAAAATTAACAGAAATATTGTCCATGAATGCTTCTTAATAGGCAACAACATTTCAGCAAAGACAAACATAGGACATCCTATAGAAATTGGTAAAAGAGAAAGGATCCTTGCAATGCATTTAAAATAAATGTTCAGGGCCTCCCCTGGTGGTGCAGCAGTTGAGCGCTGGGCTGTGAAGCTGCCCACAGCCTCTGCAGCGCCGGTTCGATCCCCGGCCACCGGTAAGGGTCCCACATAGAGCCACAGACCTCTCCTGCCATGCCCGCTACACCCCTCAGCAGTGTATTTCATCAGTCTGCCTATTCTGTTCCCCACCCCGCTCTGGCTCTAGTGAATTCTCTCACCCTCCTGTACACAGTGCAAATAAATAAATAAATAAATAAATAAATAAATCGTATAAATAAATAAAGTATAAATAAATAAATAAATCTTTAAAAAAAATAAATGTCCAATGATGTTTAGCAACACAGCAACAAAAAGATGACAGAATTTGCTGTAGGAAACTATACAACCACTTACTAATAATGCATCATTTTTTTCATGAAAGACTTCCCCCCCCAGCATATTCTGTTCAAAGTACTGAGACAGGCACAGTAAAACAGGCTATGTTGGTTGTGAGATATGATTCAAGAGGAGACTGTGAACTCAACCATCACACTTTAAATAAGCTGGAGTTCAGGGAAACATAATGTACTTTTAAGAGAACTATTTTCCCAGGCAGAAAAGGAATATAAATACCTATACTTTCAAGCTCAGGACCGGTTAAATGAATAATTGTTCAAGATGGTAGTCACAGAAGATGTACTCTTACTTAATAGGATTTTTTAAAGTGGTATTGCATTATAACATTATACAAACTTCAGGTATTCTTCCATGAAAATCTACATGTGTAGGGCCTCCCCTGGTGGCGCATGCGGTTGAACGCCGGGCTGTGAAGCTTTCCGCAGCCTCTGCAGTGCTGGTTCGATCCTGGCCGGCTGGCGAGGGTCCCACATGTCGGGGCAGACCTCTCCTGTCTCGCCACTGCTCCCCTCAGCAGTGTATTTCATCAGTCTGCCTGTTCTGTTCCCTGCTCTGTCTTTAGTGAATCCGCTGTGAATCCTCTCACCCTCCCGTGCATCTGGTCTTTACCCCGGTTCTTGTATAAAATAAATAAATAAATCTTTTTTTAAAAAAAGGAAAATCTACATGTGTATATATTACATTCAGTTTACCACTGAAAGTCCACCTCCATCCTTCACCATACAATTGCCCCTTTTGTCCTTATTTGTTCACCTCCCTTTCACCTTCCTTTCTGATAACCACTGAGAAAAGGATATCTATTTTTAAAAATCACTGAGATTTCATTTTTTCTGCAGTTTATATTTTCTATTGGTAGTGGATGCTTTCAGTGGGGTTTACCTACTATACCATTAAAGCTCAGCCCAGATAAGACAAAACTGTAATCATCATCCTCTTATGCAAGTTTCTAACAAGTGTATATTTTTGGCTTCATCAGAAACTCTAACTCTGACTTAAGTGCTGCACCCCAGATCCCTGCCTGAAAGCTGATTTACTTCTGACATCACCTTCAACTGAATCATCAGTGTCACTGCCGACAGATACCTGGAGTTTCCTTGGCATCCTTCCCAATCCTGTTCCAACTTGTCTCAGGCCAGCTCACCTTAGATTTACGTAAAACCCAGCGTGAGGTACGGTGGTCACAGGCTGCTTAACCTATTTGGCAAGTATACATGGGACAGCTGTTTGAAGCTTTGGTTGCTTTAATGGATTTCTTTAAACCACAGAATTTTATTGCCCTCTTGAGGCATGATCATAACTCATAACATACACAAGAACAGCCTAGACTCTAAAAGATAATCCCACCTGTTCTGAGGCATCATCAAGTTATTTCTCTAATCTTATATGATACCATAAAAGTAGGAAGATTAATTGTGAAGATCCTGGTAGGACTAGTTTATATCCACATAAAAACAAGAGCAAGGTGGAAAAGCTTATCTATCATGTTCACAGCCTCTACACCATGTTACCTGGGAGCTGAAAAAATGAGATCTTCCCATTCAATCACTTCATTTTAAAGTGAGAAAATAGAAGACTTTAAAGTGACTTTCCTGATGGTCACCCCGGGTCTGGCACACACCAGTGCTCAAAAAACATTTATTCGCATCTTGCTCCTAGTTCTCACTCAAGTCACTTTCCTCTACACTATGGGTCAGTCTCCCAAGAGAACTGAGTAGCATGTATTTTTATAGGAGTAGGAGAATACAAATTAGATATTATTAAATTAGGTGAGTTTTATTTATAATAAATTAGGGCTTCACCATACATTTTTATTTTTTTAGCTGTAATGTTTTGCCACAATTTTTTTTTTTATTTGTGAAAAGTTAAACTATCTAAGTGACCATTTTAGCAACAAATATGTATATCTTTAAAGGTATATATTGTTCAAAAATAAACCTGGTAACCAGAACTCTTATTTTTCCCATCATATTATTATAGGATATTAAGATGATTCATAAGCTTTGAATAATGAATATCAAAACCTGCCTTGTGATCCAGAAAAGTCTGTAAACTCTCCAGAACAGTATATTTATAAGACTACTTGATTAATACTGAACAGAGTGAAGAAATTGAAAATCTAGATAATATTTGAAGTATATACTCTACAAGTTTTCTTGATTGCACCTTGGTAAAAAATCCATAAATTTTAAGAAAGTAAATTTAAAATTGGCTCCAAAGCTCTCAATTGTTATAAGGAAAATTTGATTCAAGGACTTTCCATTATATCAATAATCTGGCATAAAGAGAATCTCTGTGATAGAATAAGACCCCCCAAAATCAATGAATAAAAGGGATAATGAGGCTTTTCCACTGAGCAATTTCTAAGTTAAAGCCTTAGCACTCCAGACCCCTCAAAATGAGTTTGCAGGTCTCTGTCCTTAAACACACACATACACATCACATTTCATGTTTAAAAATAGAAAATAAAAAATGCCCTTTGTAGGCAAGATAGCTATTACCTCATTCATAAATCTCTTAACTTCTGAAACGGTACTTAAATTATAGATGCAGTCTAAGGATACCAAATGTGATAAAATGATGATTTATTCAAAGCTGAGCTGTGCCTAACTATTAATTATGTGGTTGTAACACTTCACTTGGAACTCACCATTATCACAGTGTATTTCTTTGGTGTCACTCAGAAATTTTGGAACCGCGGCTAAAAAACAAGAAACATAAATTTAAAATGACAACTATTAACCAAAATAGAAAGAATACAAATTCATTAACCTCAACCAGGATGATTTAATCAAACACATATGTAGTTAACTTTTATTACTTCAGTAAACACTTTGATGTTCAGTGGAAAACTACACAAAACAAAATAAATTAACTAAATTTCATTAGAAGAACGATTATTTCAAATTAAAAAATTAAGGGAGAAAAATATACAGTGTAAATGCCATCTATTGCTAAAAGGAGCTCTATGGTGATTCCTTTTAATTCTGGGATCTTCTGGCCTAAATTGCATAATCGCAGAAATTGCACCAAGTTGGCTCAACTGATATTTACTCAAAGCTTCTGAATTCAGTCAAACATCTGTTTTTTTTTTTTTTTTTATAGAGGCATGTTTTCTTTCTTTCTTTCTTTATTTGTTTGTTTTTCGTTTATACATGCACTGGGTACAGTCAGAAGCGCGGGAGGGTGAGAGAATTCACCAGAGCCAGAGCGGGGAGCAGAGCAGGCAGAAGGACCGAAGTACACTGCTGAGGGGAGCAGCGGGCGGCAGGAGAGGTCTGCGCGCCATGTGGGACCCTCCTCTAGTGGCCGGGGAGCAGCCGGGGATCGAACCGGCGCCACAGAGGCTGCGGGCAGCTTCGCAACCCAGCGCTCAACCGCTGCGCCACCGGGGAGGCCCAGTCAAACATCTGTTAAAACACCCCTCAATAAATATTTATGGAACACAAAAAAGAATAAAAACACTCAAAAAGCTTAAGTTTAAAATATTTTAAAAAGGAAAAAATGGTGAGAAAAAGACAATCAGAACAGCGGTTTATCAACAGTTATTCTGTGCCTACTGACCAAATTCCATTATATTTGATTCTATTGAATTAGTGGTTCTTAGATTTCAGGGAGACTCGGAATCAGCTGAAAGGCTTGTTAAACATATTGAGTCTTTTACCCAGAGATTCTGATTCAGTAGATCTGAATTTTCCAGACTCCTCAGGGGATCACTACTGTTACTGCTGATAGGGGGGTGGGGGAAGAGGTTGTATGTATAAATTGAGAACCACTGCAATGAAATAAAAACTGATGTGTAATAGAAAACTTTTTTTTAAGTATACATATGACTTTTAGAAGGAAAAATTATATTTCTCTTAATACGAGAAATTAATTTTCTTCTTAAAATGAGAAATAGCTTCTTTTTTATGACAAAAAGCTGACATATAATTTTTGGAAAGGAAAAAATTAGAAAATAGAAATAAGGCTTAAAGAGAAAATAAAAATGGTCATTAAATTTCCTTGTGGTTCATGTTGCTCAGAGCCAATTGTTTCATTAAATAGTATGTCAAAAATATTCTTTCAGAATATTAGGGTGGCTTTATAGTATTTTGTTGGCTGATGACAACTTATTTATCTAAATAAATTATTTATTTCTATTTATTCATACCACTTAATTTATATAACCAACCACTATTAGGCATTTTCTATTTTTTCTCTTATTTAATCTTTCATGTAATTAAATTTTTCTATATATTCTTATTTTTTTCCTTACAATAGGTATCTAGAAGCAGAATTTCTAATATGGAAGAATAACATTTAGAGCTTTTCTTGTGTGTAGTAAATAGTCCCTGAGAAAGTTTCATCTAATTTGTCCATACACCCAGCAGCAAGAGAATGCTTAGCTGCCTACACTCTCCCTATTCTCTCTTTTTTTTTAAGATTTTATTTATTTATACAAGAACCAGGGTACAGGCCAGATGCCTGGGAGGGTGAGAGGATTCACCAGAGACAGAGCAGGGAACAGAACAGGAAGACTGACAAAATACTCTGCTGAGGGGAGCAACAGGCGAGACAGGAAAGGTCTGCCTCGCCACGTGGGATTCTCTCCCGCTGGCCAGGAACGAACCCACACTGCAGAGGATGGGGACAGTTTCACAGCATGGCACTCAACTGCCTGCACCACCAGGGCAGTCCCTCTTCCTATTCTCTTAAGAGGAAAAAATCTTTCCAAACTTGAAGGAAGATAATGTTTCTTAGTTTAATCAATTTTGATTGCTAATGAAGCTAAACATTTTGTGCTTTTCAAAATATTTATTTCATGCTGAAATAAGCAGAAGTATTTCCTTTTACCTTTTTTATTTCCCATTGCATCTGATGGCACTTGTGGTTTCTCAATGTTTGCATTCTCTGTGAAAGAATTCCTGCAAAGGGAATGCCAAACACTCTGGATAATGAATTGGACAAAATTCATGCAAAGTACATCAAACACACTATCTTTGTGTGGGGTGGGAGCACAGTTATTTGATGAACACAGAGAAACACTGGAGTTCATTCCTCAAAACTGGTAGTTTTGTCTCAATCGAGGTAGGTGGATATCTCATCAACTTTAATCAAAAAAGAAACACATTTGAAGAAAACCAGGGCAAACAGTACAGTCCCTCTTCCATCCAAGATCAAGCAGTTTCTGATAGCCCGTGTCCAACACAAGTGATTCAGAAACACATTCTTACTGGAATCTGATTGGCCAAAGTTACAGTCATTAAACGAGAAGTCTTAGAAATTCTGAGCCACAGACTGACAAGAATGTGTGTGTGTGTGTGTATAATGCAAGAAATATGAGTACACCATGCAAAAAATGACCTTTGTCTTACCAAGACTTCTATCCTTAAACTCTGATTAACTAAATAAATGGTAAGGGTCCATTATAGCTTGATGTTTGCCATATTTTTCTGCTGTATAACTAAATTTTCCACCAGATTGCCCTTAAATTCCTCAATTTTGAGACCAAGATAATCTAAATTACAGACAGAATACTTTTTGGTCACGATGAGAGAATACTGGGCAGGCTGTGACAGGACTTTCTTATGTTGTGTTGTGAATATCCCAGCAAAATGGAGATAACAATGTTGGCTTTACTTCACAGGAATGCCATGAGAATTAAATCCAATGGTCTGTGTTAAATTACATTTTACAAATATTTTTTTGTCCCAGTTAAGTGCTGGGCACTGTAGTAGAGATGAATAAAGCATATTCAGTTCCTTCAAAATATAAACATCAGATAGGAATTAAGACGAACCAAGGGAAAAAAATGAAAAAAAAATCAAGGAATTTAAAATGTTGTCAATGTAGGGAGGTGTGATAATTTTACTGCAGTCTATTTTTGAGAGACAATTTCCCCTTTGATATATGACAAAGTAATTAGGATATAATTTAAAATAGTTCCCTCTTCCCAAGTGATGAAAAAAACAGATAACGCAAGCACAAGCTAAGATTTGTTTATTTGAAATTTGGTTAGCTACAAGGCCAAATTTTTTTTAAAAAATCTCTGAATTCAATATGAAGCAAAAACAAGTAAAACTCATAAAAGCTCAATGCTAAATTACACATAAATTGAATTTGAAATTACACATAAATTTGAATTTGCTACTATCAACTGAATTAGATATTTTGCATGTTAGGTATCCGACAGAGGTGATTTTGTTGTGATAAATTATTTTTGTAAATAAATTATTTTATTTAAAAATGTGGATTTTCAAGGAAGGCACATGATTATCACAAAAAGTACACTGATAACTTCAATTAAAGTGAAAATTAGCAAAAAATTCACAAACATTGATTTTAAGATTTTCACTGTTTAGGTTTTAACAAATTCTCTTGGGACCTCTGGATTCTGAACATCAGTACACAGACACAACTGTCTTATTGTGTAACTTGTTTTCTTGACTTAATCTATCCCTGCCTTGTATCTAGAATATAAGCAGATGATCTTTATTTTAAAGGAAGGATGATGCATTACATCCCATGGGTATTATAAGTATGTAAAACTGGGATTTTCCCTAGGAAAAAATGAGAGGTGATCATTGTGAAGATAAGGGCAATGGTGAATGACTGTCCCTGACCTCCCTGTCTGTGTGACATACTGGAATGAGACTGAACCATGGGTGAAAGGTCAGTGTCCCAGTATTTCTATTAGTTGTGTGGCTTGACTAAATGAATCCTATTCTCAGCACCTCCTTACCTTATCTGGAAATTGTGTATATGCATGAATCGTAATGAAATATGTATATATATTTCATATATAAATAAATTTCAATATATACAAATATATATATATATAGTCACAGGTAAACTTGAAGATAATTAGAATTGAGTATTCATTTTTGAAATGTTCTAAAAGCAATGCATCTAATTGCTTCTTGATACAAAACAAAGTTTACTTGTATCAGTGTTTACTTAGATAAGTCCCTCAAACTTGTCTTGCTTTTCTAACAAAAGGAAAAAAAATACTTCCACTAGTGATGCTAAATTCACCTTCAGGTGGTATAGAAACAGGACAAACAAATCACCTGTCTGAGCTGATACATTCCAGACACCATGCCATGCATGGTGTCCCCCTAAAATATTGCTCAGTAAGCAATAGAATCCAGATTTTACAGATGTGAAAACTGAGCCTCCAAGGGATCACAGCTTTACCTGTTGTAATTAATAGACTTCCAAGATGGGATGTTTGAATCCAAGCTGGTTAAAATGTCCTGACCCTTTCTAACTATGCAGTCAATACTGACCGTTAGTAACTTTCACTATTGGAAGAGACTCAGTCTGGGTTAGGATTAAAGTCAATATCTGAATTTAAGATGTCAATTGCTTAACTTTCTCATGTAGAGGGAATATAAGAAAATCTTAGGAAATAAACTTTCCAAAACTGCTTGCACATACCAAGGGAACTTAAGCCTAGATTTAAATAGATTCCTTGGTAAATCAGTTTGTACTTCTTCTATTGATAATGGCAGACATTCTAGGGTTATCTGAGTAAGTGCAAACAAAGGGGTATTCATTCATATTATTTAAAACTTGATTTTCAGGGGCCTCTCTGGTGGCGCAGGGGGTTGAGACACAGCCTATGAAGCTGTCCACAGCCGCTGCAGTATGAGTTCAATCCCCAGCCAGGGAGCTCCCCACATGGCACAGCAGACTTCTCCTGTCTCACCTGCTGCTCCCCTCAGCAATGTATTTCAGTACATCTGCCTGTTCTGTTCCCCACTCTGTCTCTGGTGAATCCTCTCACCACCTCCCACCCCCACATCTCTGGCCTGTACCCCAGGTCTTGTATGCATAAATACATAAATCTTAAAAACCAAACAAACTTGATTTTCCAAACAAAGTCTTTTGTCAAGTATACTACTTCCAAGTATTAAGAAAAGTTAGATATTCCCTTCATTCCACTGTATAAAAGAGAAGCAGGCAAAACCTTAGGTGTTGCCCCTTTTCACCAAACTGAGAGGTGTTCACATGTTCACCTGGCAGAGGCTCCCTCTTCATCCCTCATTGTTTCTTCTCTTTAGAATAGAAATGAAAATGGGAGGCCAACACCCTTTCTCCCAACCACAAGTTTCAGAGATTCTATCTTCTTAACAAAAAATACCAACAGAGTTACATACACACCTGCATGCATGCACATACATACATAGTTCTCTTGTGGCAGAGATAGAACATATTTATAAAATTGGGTAGGTTTTTCCCAAAAGTCACCCCTGAAAAACTAAACAAATACATAGACCACAAGGAATCTATTCTGACGATGGACAAAACCAGTTTCACCTAATATCTTTGTGTTTCAAGGATATATATCCCTTAGTAGGAGATTAGAATTGAAGTGAGATTGAAACTTTATCGTAAACATGATTTTTAGTGGCATCAAGTCCTGTTGGTTTGAATCACTGTTGATTTCTGTTTTTGTTACAGTGTTTGAAGACCACTAGAATCATTATGGTTTTAATGTTTTAAAGAATCTTAGTTTCCAGAGCATGAATTTTTGGACACACTTCTTTTTGTTGCTTTCTTTTAATGTAGGCAAAGTCTTTTGAAATCAATCTTTAGACTAGAGACTTTTGGGATTGCACAATTCAAATTTGTGGCTCTCTTACCATTCCAGTGGATGTAGCTGTGCTTTTTTATTCAGGAGCTGAAATCGTTCAAATACATTTAAAAGAGACCAGTACTGGGTTAGGACCGAAGCAGGTTTTCCCGTAGGATTTGCCATGTCATAGAATTCACGCATCAAAGATTGAATCCCAGGAGCAGTGGATGGGAAGAGCTGAGGATTTTTCAGACAGAATATCAGATTAACTTATGGAAAACAAATTAAAATGTGGTATTACTAGGAAAATCTTTAACTTATTCAGAGATTTTTAAAATCAGATATTTATTAAAAATCCATTAGCGCTACCATAATTTAATTTTCTGTGCAGCTGTCAAAGTAAATGCATCTTTTTACAAGCAACTAATTTTATTGGTCATATTCCCAAATGGGGTGAGTTTTCTTTTTGCTTTTTAGTGAATGGAAAAGTTTTTTCCTTCCTTTTGATAACCGAAAATAGTTGCCTAACAGAATGAAGCAGGAAAAGGATGAGGAGAAATCCCCTGGGGTTACAAGTGAATATGTCAGAGTGAGGGATATTAATTCTGCCAGAAAAATTGATATAGTTATCCTCTCTCTACTCTGAAAGTCAGCAAATTGGGGTTTGCCCTTTCTCCTGCAAAATAAATCTTCAGTTCTCCCTCACATTGTGCCAAGAGATGTTCTCACAATTACACTATCTTAATTTATGAATTCCTGAAGGATAAGACCAGGTCTCTTTGATTATCTTTTATAGTATTGAGTTAAACTGTCCTACGTGTAATACTTATTCTATACTCTATTTAAATTCATTAAAATATTCCATAAATTAAATTACCTTTGGGGTGACAAGCTTACTTTGAATCCTCTAAAATATGGAGTTAAATTATAAAAATAAGTGTCTGACACTCATTAGTTATTTCAATAAGTTGGCTTATAACTCAATCAAGTAGTATATGAATATACAGATTTTTATAAAGTAAAAAAATAAATGTTTGGCACAGGTTAATAATAAATTATTAATGGAATTTTAAAACTGCCATTTGAAAGTGTTTTATATGAAAACATCTTAGGTAAAAAAATATGAATCTGTTATAGTTTATTTATATAAGTGGCAAAGTGGCAGAAGTAGACATAAAGCAAGTACTGAGCAAATACACACTTATTATGTGTGTGTGTATTCCTTTGATAATGACCAGTACATTAACAGATCCCAAGAAAATACAGAGAAGAAAAGAAATGTCACTTTTAAGGCTAAAATCTGTTATAATTGTTCAAAATTTCTTTTTTGAAGTTTGCTATAGAATTATAACACATTAAGATTCAATTAGCATTCTAACATATTGTTTAACAATATTGATTTTAACAAACAAAAGATCATAATAAATAGAAAGAAATTTTGGTTACAGGTAACTGTCCCAAAGGTAAAAGCAAAGCTTATTCATTTTCTTGACATTTTCCCCTGAAGAACTGTCAAATCCCACTAATCTCATTGTCTTTTACCCCTTAATAGTCACATATTTACAAACTGCCAAAGAATATGCATTCTGTACAACTTCATATTTAGATCTCTAAAAAGAAAGAAGCTTATAAAGACTTCCATTTCCTAAAGAAATATCTTCACTCAATTTGAAGTCAAAATCTAATAGCTTATGGCTGATCTCCTATAATCTCAGTAATCAAGAGGAATCAAATGTCACTTGTTTTACCAGCTGGAATTGTCCCAGGCTCCCAAGTTCCTTTATGAAAGTCATAATTGAGTTAATCTCCTCTAAAGACAGGCATTGATTTGGTTCCTTTTGATAATTTTCACCCTATAATAAGAGGAGAAAAAAATTCTTAAATAGTTGCTACAAAGCCAGATTGTTTAGTCTAATTGCTTTTCACTCATAAACCAATCAAAATTTGAATGCCTTAAAAAGTGGAGCTCTTTAATGCTAAATAATACATAGTAACTTTCATTTGTTAGAACCATGTTTGAATATAGAGAACCTTATGTATGGCATAGCTCCACAGTTTTGAGTAGTAAGGTTGGTGAGATAAGTCCAGGAAGGTAAGAATATGTGTGGTAGTGTGGGAATTCAAGAAGAGTCCTCTTTAACTTTAGATTATTAGAGATTGGAGAAGCAAATTTACATGCAAACCTCATTTTGGAATTTCACAGAAATATTATGGAATTTCACAGAAATAAAAAGTAGATACCCCCCAGTTCCCCTACATTGACTTTTTCAAATGCATCCCTGTTTGCAAAAGATGCATTCATTACTGTTCTTTTCTGGGTTGAGTGATTCTAATGTTTTTCCAATTTTTTTAATTTTAATTTCAGTAACATTTGGATACTACCAACAGGTATTATCACCACCAAATTGCCCTTAGTCTACCACTGCAGTCCATCATGAGACTGCTTTTATTGACAACCACTCTCGAACGAAACAAATCATAAGGAGCAACAGTCTATACGGTCATTTTACATCTTCCCCATTTCTCCATAAAACATCAATATTCTTCCAAATTTTCCAATTACAGATTTCAAAACAGAGATACAAAGAGAAAAATACATACTACTGTACTTAGCAATCTATACAGATTTTTTTGATGCATCAAGAAAAATTGTACTGACATGCCATAAAAATTAACTAATGTTACTCAAACAATAACTTCCAATCAATAGCATCTAAGCAAAAAAGTTAACCAGATGTCTATGCTTAAAAAAATTAGTATTACTCCTGTTTTCCAATGCAATCTAGAACACACATTATTACTCTAGAGTGCCTCTAAAAAGTTCTAGCATTCTATTTCAGACAATTATTCATAATATCCATAAACTTGCCATAGAGCTTAGAAACTGTTTTCTTTTATTTCAACCCATAACTGCATCATAATCATTCATTCACATATTTAGTCTCAGGTTAGAAAAATATTAACAAGTATAACACAACTAGTGCAAATTAATTTCAAATGAAATTATCAAGTTACTTCACTGCACAATAAAGTGGCACCATGTAAAGAATATCCTGAAAAAAACATTTTCAGCACAAAAATATACAATTACCTTAAATAGATCTGATTTAGAAGGTCTCTGAAATATGTCAGAAAACATGGAAAACGAAGATTTATTAGAGAGGAGAAGGTTGTAAGTGTCTTTTAAAAGGAGTTTTTCTGTGTTTTGGTCCTCAAACTCGATATTGTCATCATCTTGAAAGTTTAAATGTTCATGTACCTGTGAAAGAGTAAAGGCACAGTGAATATTTTTCATTGATTTTCTTTCAATATAGTGAAATTATTCCTGTCATGATTCATTTACTGTTGGATTGTAGATCAGAACTGACATCTAGTGGTGTTTTAGGAGGTCAACAGATTTATAAAACGTAAGTTATGTTCTTTTGAAAGATACATTTCTTCACAAGAAAACTAATGTATTATCACAGTTTATTCTGGAGTCCTTTACTGTTGGAGAATTTGTGTTCATGGAAGATAATATAACCTTCTGAATAATAATTTTTTAAAAGCATAATACAAATGATCTTAAATATGTATATGAAATAATGAACAAATGACTAAAGATGTAGATTCATAGAAAATTTTATGGATGACTTTTGAGCTGTTTAATCAAATGTCTAAGCAGTATGTAATATAACCATTCTCCTTGTGTAATAGTTTGAAAACCAACCAATGTAATGTGAAGTTAAATCTGATTGTACATAATTTTATTTTGTTCCTTTTCCCTCTTTCCCAAACCAAATTCTGAGATAGTATTTAATAGACTAGTTCAGTCACTTTTTTTAATCCTCTTGCTCCCAAGAACATTTTTTGATGACAAATATGTTTGAGGAATTAAATCTGAATGAGTTAATTTGAAATGAGGGGAAGTAGAAGAATCAGTATAAAAAACACACTTGAATTTATACATATTTAAACTAGAAAAAAAACATTTTACCAACTCACATGACTTTTTAATGTTTCTTTATTGTTGGAGAATTTGTGTTCATGGAAGATAATCTAACATTCTGAATAATACATGTAAAAATAGCTATTTTATATAAATTCATGAGAATAAGCTCGGTAATACACTCTTTTATCTAAATGTCCGCTTTTTTGAATTAACCCATACTTAGCTTCATATCACATTTATTTCTTAACCCATGGTTGAGTCAGAGAAGAATCCATGTTTATTCTGTAGAGATGCATGGAGAGGACCTCCCTAGTGGCACAGGGGTTAAGCCACAGCATTATCAAGCTATCACCAGCCACTGAAGGGCCAGTTTAATACCTGGCCAGGGAGGTATTGGCACAGCACATGGCACAGCAGACCTCTCCTGCCTTGCCTACTGCTCCCCTCAGCAGTGAATTTCAGTAAATCCACCTACTGTGCTCCCCACTCTGTCTCTGATGAATCCTCTCACCCCCGCACCTCTGGTCTACACCCCAGTTCTTGTATGCATAAATAAATAAATCTTTTTAAAAAAAGATGCATGGAGATTAGAAATCAAATCATAGATTCTCCACATAGTTAATTCTATTTAACAATGGTAAATATAAATATAAGCCTGTAGTGACTTTGATGGAAGTTGCTATTTATAGATGGATTACTGTGGCTGAAAACCACACATTTTTTGGCTGGATTTTTTTTTTTTTTTTTGAGTCATATACACTGTTTGCTGATCTTGGCAACATGGATGAAGCTACAAGGAATTACACTAAGTGAAATAAGCCAGAAAGAGAAAGACATATATTGAATGGTTTCACTCATATATGGAATATAGAGAGACAAAACAAAGGATCAGAAAAAACAAACCAAAAGAAAATGTTAGAAATCTGACTGTAAAATGGAGGCAATCAGGGGACCTGAGGTAAGGGAGAGAAGAAGGGAAGAGGGGCTCAGTGGACTGTGGTGGAAGACTATGGTGCCGTGGTGGTGGGTGTGTGTGGTGACATACATCTGAAGGATGTAAACCTGTAGTCCTAAGTTATATAGAGGGTTGTAAGGTGATGATTCCTCAATAAATAAATTTATTCCTCAATAAATAAATAAAATTCCTCAAAAAATAAATTTAAAAAAGGAAAAAAAATAACATAAAATCACACACACAACCCCCTCAGCAAATGACGGCAACTCTCGAGGTTTCCAGCACACTCACCTGGATCACTACAGGGTACTTGGAACTGCCGTAACCAAGGTCAAAAGTTAAAAGTTGAAAGCATAACCTGCATCTGATGAAGACACAAGGTAATATAAAAAATATATTATATTTGCTACATTTGTTCTATTATTTGGTATTATATTACTAAACAGTTACCTAATTAAATTTCAATATCTTTGTTAACTAAGAGAAAAATGACTTTGATAATCTAAAATTATAATCCATTTAATTTACTTTGGGATTTGGAACTGTTTTGTTCTGTACAGAAAACACAAATATATATTAAGTATTCACAACACATTAATTGAATAATGAACTATTCCATGAGACCCAAATACGCTTCCCTCCTGTTCCTAGAGGGAGGCATCCTTATTCACAGAGAAAACATGATAAAGTTTTACATAGCAGCACTGCTCATTTTTTTCTTATATGAAATCTGACGTCTCCCTGGAGAAAAGGCATTAGATTATTTTCAAGTAAACTGAGACATAGAGGAAGGATAGTTATTAGCTTTTGTTCAAAAAGGTCAAAACACCTAGTAATGGAAAGTCTACACAATAGATAGCTGAGCTTGAAAAGGATTGCAGTTAAAATGAAGTCAAATAGCTTTATTTCTTGCCACTACTGTTCAGATACTAGGAAGTCAGAATTATGTTGTGAAGTTTCAAGATAGTCAGATTGGGAAAATGTTTAGAAGTTCATAGATATAAACTGACAAAAAATTTCCCAAGTTGCATCCATTTCTGATAATTAAGAGGCATTTTCCCTAACAATTTTCTGCAAGTGTGTCTTTATCCTTTATTTTTTAATATTAACTTTTTTTCCTTTTACCTAGCGAAGGCCTTTGGTCCCAGAGTTGATGGCTCACTGAATGCTTCAGCTGCTAGCAGGAGCTTGCTAACTGCTTCCTTCATATTATCAAAAGCCTGAAGAGGTGAACTGGCTCTCAGGAATGTTTCAAAAAATGTTTGCAGCTGTGAAAAAAGCCAAGCATATGATAAAACAACAATCACAATTTGTCTCTATCATTTCCAAGTGAACCATTTAAAGGATTCCTTTAGATTTTCTTTCCTTATCACACTAAAAAAAAATTCTAAAGTAGGAAAGTTTGATAATCCAAGATTTATACATATTGTATAATTTATGTATATGATGAATTGATCTTAAAATAGTATGTTATATAGTAAATGTGTAGTATAATGTATAGTATAATATACTAAATGTGTGTTAATGAATATAAATTATATTATATACAATATGCATGTATTATATGTATATATTTTAAATATACCATGTCTCTCAATTAAATAGAAGGTACTGGGCCTCTCTGGTGGCGCGAGGGGTTCAGACGCAACCTATGAAGCTATCTGCAGCCACTGCAGCACGAGTTCGATCCCCAGCCAGGAAGCAGACCACATGGTGCAGCAGACCTCTCCTGACTCACCCGCTGCTCCCCTCAGCAGTGTATTTTAGTCAATCTGCCTGTTCTGCTCCCTACTCTGTCTCTGGTGAATCCTCTCACCCCCTGCACACTTCTGGCCTACACACCAGTTATTCTATGCAAAAATAAATAAAATGGGTAAAATAAAATGGGTCAACACCTACCAGTAAGAGAGTTAGGAAGGTCAATTAGAAGAAAAATGTATTTGAAACCCACTATAAAATAAGAAATGTAAATCTAATCTTGTTATTATTACTTTTCTGCATGTTAAAACAAATATAACCATCAACCTTTATCCTTCCTCACAGCATTTTGCTACGGGAGATCTCACCAAGTGGGGGAGAAAATTAGAGAATCTCAGATTTTTAACTTCAGGTTTTATGTGGCTAGGTTGGATGGCACAGTGTTACAAAAGGGGGACCAAACTCAGGCTTATGACTTTCTAAAAACATTATAGTTGGTATCACACATAACTTTTTGCTTATTTAAAATTGAAAGCAATCACAAAAAATTTTCTTGAGAGTGCTTAACATTAAAGTTCAACAAAATTTTAAAAAGTACAAAGCAAATCTCATATTGATTCATAGACTATTTCCAGATAAACATACTTTTTCAAAGATGAAGAACAAAAAATATTTTTTGACAAAATATCAGCAGGTATTCTATTAATGTTGTTGGAAGAACACACTAAAGTAGATCCGACCTGCCTCAGACTGCAAAGTGAAAAACCTTCGTTGCTATGATAATGTGGGACACATTTGGCACAAGTCACCTGAAGGAAATAGTAATTGTTTCTTCAAAATCCATAAGCCAAATTCCCACAAAAGAAATAAACACTGTCTTCATAAAGTTTTCCCAGCTGAAAAACAGAAAGCTAATGAGATGGGCATTTTAAGACCCTATAAACACATCATGAGCATTTGGCAATTGGGATGTTTTTCCATTTTTAAGGACTAAGAATAAGTATAAAAATTGTATGATCAAAAGAAAGAAAGCAAATTAATGGTAACCTTAAAAATATTAATACCCTTGAGTTAAAATAGAGTAACAATGTTTTTTTTTCCAAGTAAAATAGGTCATCATATTTCACTCAGTTCACTATATTATGTAGAAATGGTTATTGATATTATTGTACTTTTCCACTTGATGGGTCCTAAATAACACAGATGTCAAGGTAATAACTGAAGAATAATTTAAGAATGATGGAAGTGTTTGTGTAGTATATAATATATATATAAAAGATATATAAAATGCAACCATATATATAATACATATGATTATAAAATTATATACTCTACAGCAAAAAATAACTAGCTAATTAATGTTTTAAGATTGTATTTATTCTTCTACTCTAGAAAAGATTATTTCTTAATATCTGAATGTAACAGTGAGCAGTGAATTCAGTCTCAATCAATTCAACTTTTAGTGAGAATTTTAGCTGGTGGGAAGCGCTGTGCTCCAGGCTTTTGGGGATAAGAACAGACAGTGACCAACCCATGGACTGAAGCCAAGAAGTTATAGGTTCACTTTTGCTCTCTCTGCTCCATTAAATTGTGACACCTTGTGGAATTAAAAACAGGACCTACTACGTAGAGGTTTTCCTAGGATTAAATGAAAGAATGTACTTCATATACTACCATCCAATGCATGTCAATACTCAACAAATTAGCTCTCCAGGCCTCCCTGGTGGTGCAAGGGATTAAGCATGGCACTATGAAGCAATCCGCAGTCTCTGCAGTACGAGTTTGATCCCCAGCCAGCCAGGGAGCAACCCACATGGCGCAGCAGACCTCTCCTGGCTTGCCCTTTGCTCCCTTCTGCAGTGTATTTCAGTCGGTCTGCCTGTTCTGTTCCCCGCTCTGTCTCAGGTGGATCCTCTCACCCCTCCCCCATCTTGGTCCTGTGCCTCAGCTCTTATGTGCATAAATAAATAAATCTTTTAAAAAAAAGTTAGCTCTAATTATTAATTAAAACAAGTTTATAGCCACTTGAAGGAAATTTTAGTTTTAAAATAGTTGCTGAATCCATATTCTCAAAATGCAATGAATGACATTGAAAATCAAAACTGATAGGAATTCAAACATTTGTTACACAAACCAAGAAAGAACATTTGAGAATTGGACTTTGAGTGTGGAACTTAATGTGATATATGCAGATGTTGATCTATAATTATGTATACTGAAACTTACATAATGTTATGCTGCAATGCTTTTTCTATAAAACTTATAAAAATTAAATACATGGTAAGGCTTTCAATAAAAAAAAATTTAAAAAGACTAATACTTGAATGGACCCATCATCTAGGGGCGTGCCTTCCAGAAGGAGTGAAAGAGCAGAACCGAGGGACCCAAATAACTGGTTTTTCTCCCAATTTCCTAAGAACTCAGCCTGCTAAGGGAAGTACTAATGTCTACCAACAATCATAAAGGAGAGGAATCTATATATATATATTTGCCTTTAAGAACAAAAGTGTGAAGAGAGGAGAGAAAAATGACATTCAAAAAGGAACAACTTCAAATTAATGTTTTTGCATTTTTCAGGTAAGTACCCAGAAGTGGGGCACATAGATTTTCTTTTCTTTTCTTTTTTTTAGGATTCTCCATACTGCTTTCCATAGTGGTTGCATCAATTTACATTCCCATCAATAGTGTATAAGGACTCCATTTTCTCCATATCTTCTCCAACACTTGCTGTATGTTGTTCTTGGATAGTTCTCACAGATATGAAGTGATATCTCACCATTGTTTTGATTGCATTTCTCTAATAATAAGACATGATGAGCATCTTTTTATGCACCTATTGACTATCTGTGTGTCCTCTTTGAAGAAGTGTCTATTCAGATCCTCTGCCTATTTTTAAATTGGGTTGTTTTTTACTGAGAGTTTTTAGTTGTTGGTATATTTTGAATGATGAATGAATGAAAAGGATGCAGTATATATGCAAAATGGAATATTATTCAGCAATAATAAAGATGAAATTCTGCCATTTGCAACAACATAGACCTAGAGGGAATTATGCTAGTAAAATAAGGTAGACCGAGAAAAACAAATGCTATTTCACTCATATGTGGTATATGAAGAAAACAAAAAGATGAACTAAATCAAACAAAATAAACTTTTGGACTATAAGAACAAAACTATAGTAGTTACCAGAAGGGGATGATGAAGGGAGAGAAGGTAAACTGGGAAAAGGAGGACAATGGTATAGTGAAGAACAGATTTGCATTTTAGCAGAAAGCTTAATATAGGATATACACATGTTGATTCTCATCAAAAAATGTTTGTATGCTTGTAAAAAGCAAGGATCAAAAAGTCAGAACATCACCAGTCTGATTTGAGGAGGCTAACAAGACCCTGTACCTAGAGTGATCAAATACATACACACATTAATACTCAACAAAAAACACCTGAAAGTTATCCTAGTTATAACACAATGTTAATTCTATAAAAATAAAATAAAATAAAAACAAAGTAAAGACAAAAACTACCTCTATTTTTGTTTTGGTTTTGTTTTCAATTTTTGTATGTATTTCTATCTCACTATATAGATTTTTATTTATTCAAAAAAAATTCCATATGGCTGACTTCTTTTACTTAAGTTACTTAAGTATAGTGGCAAGCCAATTATGTATGCCAGAAATAAAACTGGAATTTTGTACATACTTGATAGGTATTTGTAAAAATAATCAACTTAAAGTAAAATGTCCTAGAAAGGGCACAACACTCTCTGGTAACTAATTCACTTAGGTTAAGCGGAAAACTTCTTTGAATGTCTGCTGGTATTGCAATTTGTCAATTTGTGGCACTAATTGTGTTTCCCCTGTCAAATTACTAAAGTTTTGTGTATCTCAGTGTGCTTGGATATTGAAAGAGAGAACTCTGTTTAACAATTTCCTCAGACAATGTCAAATCTGAAATTATTTGATATCAATTCCATTCAAAGCCATCAAAATCTTTTACCCAGGAGTTTTCTGAATACAATCACAAATAGCTGAGCAGTACCCACCCACACCTTCCTTACTAAACAATCAAGCCATGAGCTCAAATATGAAGAAAACTTCTCTCACTCCACACCATGATGTTTAATTGATATTTTTTAGCTACAGAAATATGAGAACATAAGGTTCCAAGGAAAACAGTGCTTTGGCAGTGAAGTAAAAATGAATAAAATAATATCTTAAAACATTAATATGACATGAAACTATGTTATGACCTATAAATTTTCCTCCTACGTATAAAAATGAAATACAAACTTAGTGCAAAATATATTATACAGAAAATGACCTTGTGGATTATAAAGAAACAAAACAAAGGAACAGACAAGAAGAAACCAGCTTGGTGTAATAACATACATCTGAAGAAGTGTGAATCTATATCCCTAAATCACATACAGAAGGCTAGACCAACATTAGCTCAACGAAAACCAATACAACTAAGATAAAATCTATCAATGAAAGGTGGAAGGACAAGAACTGAGAATGAACTGAAATATTTGTAGGAAAATTTCAGTTTTATCTTTCATATTTTAAAGTAC